TTGCCTTATGCTGGGATTTTCCATGAACGTGGACAGCCTGGCTTGGCCACCCACTCATCTGTTAACAGGGTCTTGGCAGGTAACGAAATGCCCTTTTTGTGACCTGTGCATAGGTCATATGCTCTCCAACATCTGTGCATAGTGGGATCAGTCTGGCAGGGAAGAGCCTGGGGAATTCTGTCTGCAACATGGGTAGTGTCTTAAGAGTGCTTCAACGAGAAACTACATTCTGCAGTAGGGCTGGTTCACATGCCTAGAAAATTATGTGCTCTCTGGGCTGCAGATATGATGTTTCAAGTACATATTAGGGGAGCCTCTGAGCCCCAGGGGGTGGGGGGGGCAGTTAATAATCCTGCCTTTAACTCCCTCATGATCCCAAATGTCTTCTTTTAACAATCTGACAGCCTAATGATCAGCTTGCTGCAGGTCCTTCTAATTGAATTATAGGGTGCCTTGTTCATGTTCCGGCTGGCAAGGCTCTCACAAGGCAGCGCGGGATTCAATTAGGATCTTAATAAGTGCGTATTAAAACCTCGGCTGCCACCACATACAGCACACAGGCATTTGGGAGCCTTAAAGGGCAGGCGGGGGCGGGGGGGAAGAGGAGTGGGGCTTTGGCAGCCTGTGAATGAAATAGTCATATGATAGATGGCATAATTCTTTAGGATGCTTTTTTGGTTGAGCCTGAATTGCTTTGTAATTATACCAGCATAGGGAAATTGTCTTGGAGGGGGTGTGGACAGGTATTTTGTGTAGCTAGAGAAAGGAACAGAAGATAGATGACATAAAAAGACCTCAGAACCAGTGCTTCTGTTACCAAATGGTGCACATGCCAGAAAGGTAGAAAAGGTAGGGACACCCAAACAGTTTTTGCTTGTTTTGTGTCTGAGCACAAGACGGTCATCGTGAGTGGAGAGAGCCATGATGGTTTAGTGTGGCTGTGTAGTTTCAGTGCAGTGGCCTGTTTCTTTAAAGCCTTTCTTTCTTTACCAGACTCCAAGTCTCTTCTAGTTCTTTGTCTCACTTGGTATATCAGTTAAGTTCTTGATTTAACTCCTACTCACCCTGGTGGAGCAATTGTGAAAGCAGCCAAAGGCAAAGTTGCCAAACACAAGTACCCTACTACCTGAAGAATGGGGGATCTAGCCTATAACTTTAGCTTTAGCTGACACACATCCTTCACCATACTTGTTGCTTATGTGGGATTTTGGCTGTCAGCATGTGGAAACAGCTCGCTGGCAGATAATTACTAGCTGCCAGGCAACACTGCAGAACTCTCTGCCAGCCTGGCTTTGGAGGCACCTAACTTCACCCCTCCCCCCACAGATCTCCTGATCCTCTGCTGCTGGGAAATGTATAATCTCCTGGCATTTCTATATTAGAGCAGAAATTCTCTTATTCTTTGTTGTCTTGGGTTTGTGGTGAAAAGTAACCCTGCCCAAGCCTTGCTCTGTTTGGGGAACTCTGAGCCCCCATATGTAATATGCCACTGTGCACACCCTTTCTGTGCCCTGCTCAATCAAAGAGATTATGCAGGCAAGAAATTTACAGTTCCTTCACTAAAGCAAGGACATTGTAGTACTCTTGATGACTAAGTTCATCTTGCATTTCTTGTGGTAAACCAGACCTAAATACAGAATCCCCACCCCATGAACAAGGCCTCTGTGCTTGGTAACTAGGTGTGTATTTTTACATTTGTTGGCATTAAACAACACACGTCTTTTTGCTTGTGTCTAGTTTCATAGTTGGTAGGGTCGGAAGGGACCTGAGCAGATCATCAAGTCTGACCCCCTGCCATGGGCAGGAAAGAGTACTGGGGTCAAACGACCCCAGCTCAGTGATTTGTCTAGCCTCCTTTTGAAGAACCCCAGGGTAAGAGCAAGCACCACTTCCCTTGGAAGTTGGTTCCAGATCGTAGCCGTCCTGACTGTGTGAAGTAGTGCTTCCTGATGTCCAGCCTGAACCTCCTCTCAGTCAACTTATGGCCATTATTCCTAGTTACTCCTGGTAGAGCTCAGGGGAACAGGGTCTCTCCCGTTTCCCGCTGGTCCCCCTTGGTAAGTTTATAGACGGCCACTAGATCCCCTCTCGGCCTTCTGTTGTGGAGGCTGAACAGGTTCAAGTCCCGTAGCCTCCCCTCATAGGGCCTGCCCTGCTGCCCCCTGATCATGCGAGTGGCCCTCCTCTGGACCCTCTCAATACTGTTCATGTCCCTCTTGAAGTGCGGTACCCAGAACTGGACACAGTACTCCAACTGCGGCCTGACCACTGTTGCATAGTGGGGGAGGATCACCTTGGACCTGCTCATGATGCATCTGTGGATGCATGACAAGGTGTGGTTGGCCTTCCTGACTGCATTCTCACATTGGCGGCCCATGTTCATCTCGGAATCCATAATGACTCCAAGATCCTTTTCTGCCTCTGTGCTGACAAGAAGGGAGTTCCCCAGCCTGTAGGTATGCTGCTGGTTCTTCCTCCCCAGGTGCAGTACATTGCACTTGTCAGTACTGAAGCCCATCCTATTCTTATCTGCCCACCCTTGTAACCTGTCCAGTTCTAGTTGTAGTTCCTCCCTTCTAACATGCCTACTTCTCCCCACATCTTTGTGTCATCCGCAAACTTGAAGGTGCTTTTCACCCCCTCGTCCAAGTCTCTGATGAAGATGTTGAACAGCGCAGGCCCAGGACCAAGCCCTGGGGAGCCCCACTGCCCACATCCCTCCAGGTTAAAAATGACCGGTCCACCACCACTCTCTGGGTACAGCCCTCCAGCCAATTTGTGACCCAGCTGACTGTAGGCATCAACACCACAGTCACTTAATTTTTTGATGAGAATGGGGTGGGAGGCAGTGTCAAAGGCCTTGCTAAAGTCCAGGAAGACTACATCCACCGCAGCACCTGCGTCCAAGGATTTTGTGACCTGGTCATAGAAGGCAACTAGGTTGGTCTGACAGGACCTGCCTTTAATGAACCCATGTTGGTTTCAAGTCAGTGTACCAAATGAACCCATGTTAGTGTACCAAGAGATCCAGATAACTGTTATCTACCATTCCACCAACATTTTAATAATCTTCAAGGTTTATCAGTAATGATCTAGACTTCTTCCAGGCCACTGACAGGCATGCTAAGAAAGCATAACTGCCAAGAAGTAACACCTTTGGGACCCCAGTAGAAACTGCTGCACTCAGTGATGACTTCTTGTTTACAATTACATTCTGAAGAGCTATCAGTTGGCTCCTTTTTAATACCTCTAATGTATTCCAGGGTGGTTTTGTATTCTTATTTCTTGATGAAAATATTGTGTAGTGTCAAGTGAAATGCCTCATAAACCTTCATTTCATCAACTCTGTTAGCTTTATCACTCAAACTTATAATCTCATCAAGAAAAGATTTCAAGTTGCACAAGATGCGCTTTCCCATAAAGCCTGTTGACTGACATTAATTATTATTGCCCTCCTTTAATTCATTATTAAGTCTCACATCAGAAGTTATATTATTTTTTGCTTGGAAGTGAAGCTCATGAGACTACCGTAAAGCATGGGTTGTCTCTTTTAACATTTTATAATATTGGCATGCTGTTAACTTCCTTCCATTCCTCTCGGCTTCCCTAGTATTACAAGACATACTGAAAACCCTGAGAACTTCTTGGCCAGCTCTTTAAAACCATTGAGCAGATCATTAAAGGTTGTCAGTGGCCCTTATGACAGCCTTTCTCCATGTCAGACTATCAAACTCTGTGGTAATAGTGAGAATTATGCTATGGAGCAGGGGTTGTCAACCGGGGGTATGCGCAGGCAGGTGGGGACAGAGCGCTGCCACCCACCACCCATGCTGCCACCTCCCAGGAGCAGGGCCAGGTGGGGACGAAGAAGAGAGGCATGGGCAGGGAGGTATGGGGGAGTTCGCATGCAGAGACCGCTGCTCTCACCCACCACCCCACACTGCCACTACTCCGCTTTTGGCCACACTCCATCCCCACTGCACCTGGTCGTGCACCTGCCCCCCCAACTCTGCATCTGGCTGTCAGGGGTACACTTATTAAAAAAGGTTGAAACCCCCTGCTATAGAGGATAAACCAATAGGGCATTTATACATGTGCTTCAGGAAGTGGGGGTGGTGCTTAGAGCTGCTCTAATTAAAGTGCTCGGAGTCTCTCGTGTATCAGTGTCCCTGTGCTTAAAATGGCTGCCAGGGGTGCTTTATCTAAAGCGCCCCTGCCGCCATTTTTAAGCAGTGGGGACACTTTAAGCGATGGGGCTTGCTGATACGTGAGATGTTGGAGGCTGCTGGAGCACGGTAATTACCGCACTCCAGCAGATTTGAGAACTTTGCTGCTCATGTATAGGCTCCCAAACGATGCTTAGAATCACATATTCGGAGCTCACAGCTTTAGTTCTGCACTACCTGCTTTGCTGTGTTTTTGCTTGTTTGTTTGTTCCCCGGAGCTGAACACATACCCAGTGTGCCTTTGCACAGCCTTTCTCAACTGAAGTCAGAGCTTAGACAAGATGCTGTGAATTTGTATTGGGTGAAAGACAAAGGTAGATCTAATATCCATTTCAAATCAATAAAAACTGGCATTCCCTCCCACTGTGATGAAAAAACTTTAAGGCCCCATGTTCACCTGTGTTAACTTCCCCTACAGGCTATATGGCAATTACCTGACAATTATATTCTTCAAGCTAGGGAGGGACATGCTGGCAAAGTAATAGAAGAAAAGGAAAAAAAAGCAGACCTTAGTTTCAGTTCAATGAAAGCACTGGGGGAGAAAAAAAATCAGTGTTTGCCAAATAACAGGGGATCAGATATGTTTTCTCAGCTTCACAGAGGGCTTTAAAAACTATGAAGGGACACAGAAGCCTGTTTATAGTCCTTTTCCTCAATAGGAGACCTACATTTGGTGTCTGCCAACTTAAGAGCCAGGAACCTGAGTTCAGGAAATATTTCTGTACCACATGATCACTGTCTGAAGTGTCTGCCCTGGCATGGAGACAGCTTAATGAATTTAACATTTTTTCTGTATGAAAACAGATTGCATGCGTGTCTTCCACATCATGCTGGCAGAGTTAGTCTGGACCCT